AGGCCAGCCGAGGCTACCTGGTGAGACTATATCTCCAAAGAGCAACACTAAAGGGTGGGGTGTAGCTTGGTGGGCAGGGTGATCACCTAGAATGTGAGAGGCCCTGGATTCTATGCCCGGTACTACGTAACCTGAGCACTAAGAAGGTAGAGGCAGGAGAAACAGAAAGTCAAGACTATCTTCAACTACATGTAGTCCGTTTGAGTCCTAAGAAGAAATCCAAAAGTAAAAACAAAAACAAAACACTAAATTGGAGAGGGGAGCAGCCAGGCCTTCTATCCTATCTAGAACCTTCCCTAGATGTCTAAATTACTAGCATAAATCAGCCTCAAGATAAAATAAAGCATTAGGGTCAGAGTCACTGATCTGCTACACTGAGACCCCTTCCCACCTAAACTCAGAGATGGCCCCAAAGTCTATACTGTTCTTCGGGTTGTGGTAGTTCTTTTGTTTTTTTCCTTTTATGAGACAGAGTCTCTCTAGGTAGCCCTAGCTTTCCTGGAACTAGCATGAAGGCCAGGCTGACCTTGAACTCACAGGCCTGCTGCTGCCTCCCAAGTGCTTTAATTGGGATTAAAGGCTTTTGCCACCATACCCAGCTTACTGTTGAATTTTCTATCCTAGACACCTCCCTCACTGTGAGTGGCTGTTCATTATACCTAAAAGATACTGCACCACAAATCCATCTCAGTGCATCTCTTTGTTGAACCTGGAAATAATGTTTATCATGTTAAAACATCTACATTCTAAAGTTTTTAATCACAATTTGTTGTTGTTTTTAGAGGGTTTGGGGAAGCAGCATGCTATGACAGATGTGTGAAGGTCAGGGCCTTCTGCTGTGTGGGTCCCAGGGGGTTCAAGTCAGGTCATCAAGCTTGCATTTGTTGGGTGGTATGTGCCTTTCACTGCTGCACCATCCCAAATCCCTCCAAGTCCATCCCTACCTCACCCCCAGCTTCTTACCATGTAGCCCAGACTTGCCTGAACTAGAGATCCTCCTGAGTGCTAGGATTACAGGCATGTACCACCATGACCAATCTGTAGTTATTTTATTTGATTATTTGGTTTTAATTTGTTTGTTTATTTATTTTTTTCGTAAAGTCTCATGTGGTCTTGGGGTTGGAAAAGAAAGGACAAAGAGTATTCCCTTTATTTTATTTTCAGTTCTGAAATCAGGCAGCATTTCAGTCCACAAAGTAGAGTAGGTATTAGTCTGAGCAGAAGCTGGTTTTCTGACAGAAAAGGGCTGAATGAAAAAGAAGCCAGGTACGTGTTCAGTCAGTGCTCTGGAGGCTGAAGGAGGAGAACTGCCAGTTCCAGATCAGCCGCAGAATAAGGAGGTGGGTGGGGACAAACAAAAACAAAACAAGAAAGGGAAAGTAAAGGAGAGGGAAAAGAGAAATCAGGCAAGAGAGGTTTTAGCTCCTAAGCTCACTGATTAGGTGGAGTTCATTTTGTAAAACTTAGGAGTTCTTAGAAGTTGACTACCGGATTTGCCAGGATATACTCTTGCTTTCCTTGGACCGAGAAACTTAACTAGCTGCCTAGAAAAGAAGGTTAACTTTACTCCTAATTCCTGTTATAAGAACCCAAAAGCAAATCATTTCAGAGTTGCTGCTGATGGAACAACAGAAAACTCATGGATTAACTGATGTTTAATATTGCAGTTTATCCTTTCTCTGGTGTGTTGGCAGTAAGGCAGAGACAGCGTGTCTGGGGATGGGCCAGTTACTTTCCTTATCCTTTGGATACCCAATTAAATGGTTTGTTTTAGTTTAGGGCAAGCTGGTGTGAGTGACTTACTCTGATCTGTTTGTTGTGCTGGAGATAATGTTACAGTTGCTATGGTCAGGGCTAGGTTGATCTAGGGAATGGAATCTACTGCCAGCCTGGGTAGAGAACTAATATTCCCAGAGTCCTAAGGCACCGGAGGTAACCCAGTTGCTCTGCCAATCACTTGGCTAAACAACCCATCCTTCTGGAAAATGAATTCACACGACACCTCTCCGAAGAAATGGGAGGAATTATTATTTCTTTAATGAGGTACTATACTTTTCTTTCTCCAAATCTCAGCCCTTTATGCAGTCACTACAGATCCAGCACCAGGCTGTATTAAGTTGGCCTGATGAGAAAGGCATAATTTTTACTTTTTCTCTTTTTCTGTCTTTTTCTCTTTGATGCTGGGTGGAGCCCAATATGCTTTCTCTTGTACTTTGGTATTTTTCACTAGTTCTCTGAAGCTCTCTCTCTCCCCAACCCCACCTTTGCCATGTGGCCACTTGCTCAGTGAACCTCTGCTCCTAACTAAAAAGGCATTTGTTCTTTTTCTCCATCTCCCTCCTCCACGTAGCTACTAAAAGTTACAGCTTGCCTGCCTGGCATTTTTTCTTTTAAACTCTAAATAAAATTGCCCTGGAACCTATTTCTGAATCTGTTCTTCAATCCTTTTATCAATGAGACTTAGAATCCTAAAGAAGGGTCCAAGTCCTCTCAGAACACATGTCATCCTGATAGGACTCCCCAGAATTCCTACTAACCACCAAATCCAGGGCGTTTCACATTCCAGGCAAATGTTCTAACACTGGACTATATTCCCAGCTCCCCACTTTGACTTCTAGCCTTGTCTGTTCCAGTATAGGAGCTTAGTCTGAGGCAATGTTTTCCTAGAATTTTTATTCAGTACAACTTTGTGTACAGGAAATGGGCTGGCCAGGCCTTTACCACATGGTAATTCCTGACTATGAAAGAAGAGAAAAAAGTATTTGTTTATTTATTTGAGACAGGATTTCTCCATGTAGCTGTAGCTATCCTGTATGCTTTGTAGACCAGGGTGGCCTCAAACTCTGAGATCTGCCTGCCTCTGCCTCCTGAGGTTTAAAGGCATATGCCACCATGCCTGGCTTTGAGTTCTCTTTATTTTTGTTTAGTGTTTATTAATATTGCTTTAATTAACATATATTAATTAAGAGCATATATATATATAGTGAGAGCCCAGTAAAATACATTTGTGTCAGGCTTACATACTAGCATTTTGCTTCCTCTGATTTAAAAGAACTGGGTTTATTTTCTTTGTTAGATTTATTATTTTTAGTCAAATAACCTATATTGATTGAGTACTTAATTGTATAGGGCATCATGGGAAAGACAGAAAGGCAGAAAGATATAATCTGTAGTTGAATAAGAGTGTCTCATGGCTGGGCATGGTGGCGCATGCCTTTAATATGAGCACTTGGGATGCAGAGGGAGGTGGATATTTGTGAGTTCAAAGCCAGCCTGGTCTAGAAAGAGAGTCCAGAACAGCCAGGACTAGTACCCAGAGAAATCCTGTCTGAAAAAAACAAACAGACAGACAGACAAAAAAAAGAGTATCTCTGATACTGGAGACAGGGTTCGTGATTAGAACTGAAAAAAAAAAGTCATGTCAATGACTTTTATTAATACTTTTATATTTTTTTAGATTTATTACCATTTATATTCTATTTTCTTGAGTCTTTTAAATGTTTTTTTTTTCTATTCCTGTTTTAGGTTATTTAAATAAAAAACTTCGTCCCAAACTTCTGCATCCATAAAATATATCTCTAGAAAATATCGAATCTTCCCTTCTTTAACTCATTGATAATGTTCTACTGGAAAATTATTTTTTGCATATATATGTATGTATGTATGTGTTATGTGTATGGATGGATGTTTGCCACGCTGTGCTTATGGAGGTGAGAGAACAACTAATTGGAGTTGATTCTCTCCTTTCACCATGCGAGTTCCCCTTCCCATTATCGGGACATGAGATTTGTGCCACGTGTCTTTACCTACTGAACCACTTTTTTTTTGGCTTTTTGAGACAGGGTTTTTCTGCGTAGCCTTGGCTGTCCTGGGCTCACTTTGTAGACTAGCCTGGCCTGGAACTCACAGAGATCCGCCTGCCTGTGCCCCCCATAGTGTTGGGATTACAGGAGCTGACATAACCTATAATACTGACATAACCTATAATACTGACATAACCTATAATCCAAACAAAAGAAACAAACAAACAAACAAACAAACAAAAAAAACCCCAAAACTCCCCCCCAAAGTGGGAATAAAATATTGTACAGTTAATGAAATTGCAGCAATATACCAATAACAATTTATTCAGGGTCCCTTTTTTGCATTGTTTATGTCTGTATTTTGTGAGACAGGATCTAATGTTGCCCAGGCTGGCCTGGAACTCCGGGAACTTCGAATCCTCCTGCTTCCCTCTCCCAAGTGTTGATAGACACAGGCCGTTACACCAGTTTTTGTTTGTTTGTTTGTTGTTTTGTTTTTGTTTTTTGAGGAAGGATTTCTGAGTGTAGCCCTGGCTGTTCTGGAACTCCATTTGTAGACCACACTGTCCTTGAACTCACCGAGATCTGCTTGCCTCTGCCTCTTAAGTGCTGGGATTAAAGGCTTGCGTCTCTGAGCACCAGGACTTTGCACCTGCTAGGCAGGCAGTGTGTTAATGAAGGGACGTGCCCACCCCAGGACCCTTTAATTATCTGAGGCTGCAGTAACAGGCAGCTACTGGCCATGTGGAGCTTTTTAGATAAAAATACATTAAAATGAAATTAGCATCTCAGTTCCTTATACTAGCCACATCCCAAGGTGTGTGTGCAGTACTGGACAGTACAGGGACAGAAAACTTCCATGAGTCACAAGTTCTTTTGGATCTCTCTGGTAACATTTCTTGCCCTGAATCTGTGTACAGGCCAAGCTCAAAGACTGGTGTCTAAGCTCTGCTACTTCCTAGTCCTGGAGTAACACGTATTAGATTTTTGTACTTTAAGTCTGGTCGGCACGCAGGTAGTAAGGATGCCAAAAATCCAGGCGAGGAGGCAGGAGGAGCGGCGAAGGGCGGGGCCAGCTCGGCGCTCCCGGGCAAGCCCTGCCTCCGCCGGGGCGGGGCCTCGGGGGCGGGCCCGAGGGGCGGGCCGGGAGGCGGGGCAGCCCGCGGGTCGGCGCGCCAGCCCTGCCTTGCGTGCTCACGTGACAGGTCCGCGAGGCCCCGCTCTTGCAGTCGTCCAGGCCAGCGAAGATGGCGGCCGAGAGGGAGCCTCCTCCGCTGGGGGACGTGAAGCCCACCGACTTCGAGGAGCTGGAGGACGGAGAGGACTTGTTCACCAGCACCGTCTCCACCCTCGAGGTGAGGCGGCCCCGCCGAGGAGGCCGCGCCGGGCGTCTCGCCTTTCCCCCGTGGCGGCTTGTCCCTCCCGGCCCCTGGGTTTGGCCAGGCCAGGTCCGGTGACACCTGTGACGCCGGCCGCACCTCAGGTGCCTACCGGGGGGCCGGGCTCGGCCTGGGTGGCCGGGTCCCGGGAGAGCAGCCTGCGGGCCTGGGAGCTGACCTCATCCTGCAGGCGCCGGGACCCGCGGACCGAACAGCCGAGCTTGCCGGCTCCCGGGCCTCCGTGTCTTGGGCGCCTCTTCCTCCAGGCAGGACGAGCTTGTCTCCGCTTCCCGGGCCGGCCCGGGGAGAGGTGCTCGTTTCTCTGCCCGCCGGAGGGTGTGCCCTGCCAGGGGAGAGCGGGGAAGTGCACGCTCAGTTGTCCGAGGGCCCCCGGGGAGGTGCGGGTGCGCTCTTCGCTGTCAGCGTCCTTCATGGACTGTTAGTTCTCTTGGAGCTAGGTAAGTGCATTTGAGTTAGGAGACTTCATCGAGGCTGGGGCTCGTGCAGCGCAGGCTGGATTCGAACTCAGTCGGTAACTGAGGATGGCTTCGAACCTCTAATCTTCCTGCCTCTTCCCTTTCCTAGTGCTGAGATTAGCCAACGTGAGCCACCGCTTAGGGACCACAGTGTTTGAAAAGTACTAACTCGAAGGAGTAGTCCAGGAAACTGGTTTTTAATTACCAGGGGAGAAACAGAAACAGATCTCCACTCCTTTTTCCTCTTTTTTCGCATGGTCAGCGATCTCTGTAGTTGACTGTTCCTGTTTTTGTCAGAGGAAACACTGAGTTTAGCTGTATTGGTCCGCCTTTTTCTAGTCACATTTGAATTGCTTTACATTGGGTAAGAGCACATACACCGGAAATCCTAATTTTAAGCATGTAAGCACCTTTCTCAGAAGATTGTTTACCCCAGCTGTAGTTTTTTTTTTTTTTAATTATATATATTTGGGGTGTGTGTGTGTGTGTGTGTGTGTGTGTATGTGTACCAGAGCTTGCTTATGAAAACCAAAGCACAACTTTTGGGGTTTGGTTTTCTACTTCCATCATTGTCAGGCTTGGTTGGCAAAGCACCTTTACCAGTTTAGCCATCTCACCAGCCCTCTACTTTCTTACAAAGTTTTGTAAGTTTATATGTTTATAAGTTTATATAGAATAAGCTTGGTTGGTCTGTTCAGTTCTGCACCAAATCAAATGGAAATAACTGTAAAACACCCATTATCTGAATTTCAATGACCAGAAATTGAAAACTTCAGGAAATATTCACCACTGACCACATGCTGTTCATTTTTATGTAGTGGGGAAGCCAAACCTCACTTCCCCACGGATTATAAATTCCTCAGATAGTGCCTTGATCACTGACATGTTCTAAACAAAATCTTTGGTATTTGTATCTTAATACAGCTAATGATGATTTAATTGCCAAAACCATCATCTTCTAAAATTAGTTAAAATTACTTTGCAGAATATATTTTTCTGGGCAGGGGGCGTGTCTTTGTAGCCCTTGATATGTTTTATGTAGCTTAACATGTGTTGAACATGACTGCAAGTCCTAAAAACCTCCATTGTTCTTCTTAGACACACTACACAGAATAAAAAGAACTATAGTCTGTATCAGAGAAAGTCTGCAGAGTTTTGTGATGAACAGATTTATCTTGGTTTATACACTTGAGAAAGTTGCAGAGAAAGTTGTTAAGTGGTTGTTGATTTAAACCCCTTTTCTCATGGATTCATTTTAAGAAAATGGTAGTGACTGTGAGAGTTTCAGATTCAGTTTAAATTTTTTCAGGTTATCATGCACAGTTCATCCTCACACTGAGGTGCAGAAGATTCCACAATATTCATGCACAGATGAATATACCTGGCTGGAATTCTGTATGGCTAACATATGCCTTTTTCCTTTTGAGACCAGATCTCTCTTTGTAGCCTGAATTGACGCAGAACTAATTCCTTTTGCCTGAGCCTGAATGCTCACATTACAAACAAGTACCACCATAGACCCCAAGTTGTGGCAGTCGCCTTTAGGCCCACCACTTGGGAAGCAGAGGCAGGTGGGTCTCTTGAGTTTGAGCCCAGCTTTGTTTACATTGTTCCAGGACAGCCAGGGTTACACAGAGAAACCCTGTCTTGAAAAACTAAAACAAACAAACAAGCAAACCCCCAACCCCCCCCCCCAAAAAAAAAAACACCACCTCTCTAGGTTATAGAGTGGTTCTTTTCTTGTACTTAGGTTGAACATGACATTCCTAGCCCTATATAGATGCTGTACTTACTCTGTTTCTGTAGGACACCATAGAGAACTAGTTATTATTTATTAATGTTGAGACAGGCTCCTACTGAATAGTTCTGGCTGATTTGGAACTTAGTATATAAATTAAACTGGCCTCTAACTCATAGAGAAACGCCCGCCTCTGTCTCCTGAATGCTGGGATTAAAGGTATACACCACTATGCCTGGCCTGTTAGCTTACTTGTTGATTGGAATGTTTGATTTCTTGTTTTTTGAGTTCTTTATATTGGATTTTAATCTTCTGTCTGATGTATAAGGATTTTTTCCTATTCTGTAGGTTGTCTCTTCACTTAATACATTTCCATTGCTGTGTAGAAGCGTTTTAATTTTCTGAAATCTCATTTGTAAGTTGTTAGTATTGTTTTCTGAATTAGCGGTGTCCTTTTCAGAAAGTCCTTATTGTGCCAGCATTTCCCCTATTTTTCCTCTAATAGTTTCAGAGCTTCAGGTCTTGTATTAGGCTCTTTTTGTGCGATACGTGTGTGTGTGTGTGTGTGTGTGTGTGTGTGTGTGTGTGTGTGTGTAATAGCCCTGGCTGTCCTGGACTCTCTTTGTAGACCACGCTGGCCTCAAACTCACAAATCGGCGTACCTCTGCTTCCCCATGTATTAGGATCTTTAATGCATTTGGAGTTGACTTTTGTACAAGGTGAGAAATAGAGATCCACTTTTGTTCTTTAACACATGGATAGCCACTTTTCCAATCCCATTTGTTGAAGAGGCGTCTTTTCAGTTGTGTATATTTTGGACATCCTTGTTGAAAATCTGGTGGTTGGGAGCTGGTGAGATGGCTTAGAGTGTAAAGATACTTGCCATCAAGCCCGATGACCACAGTTCAGTTCCCAAGGAGGGAACCAATTCTCTACACATTGCCCTCTGACCTCTGTGCCTGCTATGGCATGCAAGTGCCCCTCATCCCCTCAATAAATGTAAACTTAAAAATTTGTGTGTGTGTGTGTGTGCTTGTTTGTTTGTTTGTTTATTTATTTATTTATTTTTGGAGACAGGGTTTCTCTGTGTAGTCTTGGCTGTCCTGGACTCACTTTGTAAACCAGGCTGGCCTCGAATGCACAGACATCTGCCTGCCCCTGCCTCCCTGGGTGCTGAGATTATAGGTGTGTGCTATGGTGCCTGACTTAAAAAATTATTTTTTAAATAAGATGGCTCTAGTTGCACGGATTAATAACTGGGTCCTCTATTTTATTCCATTGCTGTACATGCTTGCTTTTTGCTAGTACCATGTTTTACACTATAACTTGAAATCAGGTATGACTGCAGTATTGCTCTCTGCTTTCCTTTCAGTATGTTAATGCTTCCATGTGAATCTCATTGTCCTTTATATTTCTGTAAAGGATCTTGCTGGAGTTTTGTTAGGGATTGCATTGAAGGTATAGATTGCCTTTTGAAAGCTGAAGAGCCGGGCAAGGTGACACACACCTGTAATCCCATCACTCTGGGAGGCAGAGGCAGGTGGATCTCAATGAGTTTGAGGCCAGCCTGGTCTACAAAAGTGAGTCCAGGACAGCCAAGGCTACACAGAGAAACCCTGGCTTGAAAAAAAACCAAGGAAGGAAGGTAGACCAGTCTTCATAATAGTAATTCTGTTGATCTGTGAGTGTGGGAAGTCATCTCATTTCCTGGTGTCTTCAGATCTGTTTCTTCACTGGTTTTATATTTTTTTGTAGTGGTCATTTACTTCCTTGGCTAGGTTTATTCTAAGATATGTTTATATTTACTTATTTATTTGTAGAGAATTGTAATGGGACTTTTTCATGGTTTCTTGCTTAGCATTTTTGTTATTAGTAAGTAGGAAAACTGCTGATTTTACTATGTCAGTTTCTCTTGGCATATTGCTGGAAATGTTTATCAGATCCAAAAAATTTTCTGGTAGAGTCTATTAAATAAAATTGTATCATCTGCAAATAAAGATAATTGATATCTTTTCTATTTGTATTTCTTTTATTTCATTCTCTTGACTTACTGACTTACTGTTCCAGCCAGGACTTCAAGCACTGCACTGAATAGGAATATTAGAGTAGATGTTCTTGCTGTTCCTGATATTAGTAGAAGTGCTTTGAGTTTATCTCCAGTTAGTGTGATGTTGACTATAGACTTGTTGTATGTAGCCTTTGTTATGTTGAGATATGTTCCTTCCATTGTTAGTCTCTTTGAGCTTTTATCATGGAGGATTTTGTCAAAAGCCTTTTTTTTGCATCTGTTGAAATGATCTTGTGACATCTTTCCTGCGTCTATTCATGTGATATGTAACATTTTCTATCTCTGCATCACTAAAATGAAGCCAACTTGATCATGATTAATTACTTTTTTGAGAGAAAATTATGTGTATGTGTGCCTGAGTATATGTATGTACACTGTATGCAGAAGAAGAAGGTGTTGGATTCCCTGGAACTGGAGTTATAGACAGTTGTGAGCCATCATGTGGGTGCTGGGAATTGAACTTGGGTCTTTGGAAAGAGTAAGTACTCTTAATTAGTGAGCCATTTTTCCAGCCTGAATTATCTTTATCTGTTTTTTTTTTTTTCCTGCATTTATGTACATATACTCTGTGCATAGCTGGTGCCTTAGCAGAAGGCATCTGGAATAACTAGAATTACAGGTAGTCGTGAGCCATCAATTGGGTGCTGGTGGACCCTGGGTTCCTTTGCAGGAGTAACGTGCTCATATGTAACCT